GGATGCGATGAAACTCTAGCTTGTGCTGCTGATCAGAGTGCTCCACATAGCGCACAATTAGAAGGAAGACATAGAAGATGAATGCAAGATACATGTGGGCATGAATCATAAGACTGACAATTTTGCAGAAATGTATGCCCAGAATCCAGTCTTCATCAGAAGCATAATAGTAAATTCGAAAGGGCACCGTGAGAAGGAAAAAGGAGTGCACTGCTATCAGGTTGATCACAGACACTTTGGTGAAAGACAGACATCTTTGAGACTGTAGCATACAGGACATTAGTACAACATTCAGAGTCCCAGCGAGAAAGATGAATATATATAAAACCAGAAGAGCAATTCTAAAGTCCTCCGGCAGGCCAGTTTGGTTTGTGGTGTTGTTTATGATCATGCCTGACACTGTGATTTAGAGAAAGACATTTTTGTTTTTACTTGCTCTCAAATGAATATATACAGTGTATATATATATATAGAGAGAGAGAGAGAGAGAGAGAGAGAGAGAGAGAGAGTCTAAGAAATGACTTTTAGATTTAAAATATGAAACATAAACTCACATTTTCCCAAAACTCTTTTCCTGGTAAAATGTTTTGGCCCTGAAAAATGCAAGACAGATTAATCACATTTCTTCTTTTGAATTTGTATCTTTTTTTCTCCTAACATCTTGAAGTACAGCAAGTAATTAAGTAAGTAAATAAATAAAAACTTTTTAAAAAGTAAGTTCGTAAAAATGAAACATTTTAGTCAACTTGAAATGTGAAGTTGTACTAAGTGACATCTATATCTATAAGTGTATCTATACATCTATAAGTGATATCATTCATGATATCTGAATGTAAATGTAATGAAAATGTAATGTAAATTTTAAGGCAGCACAACAACAACAACAACAACAGTAATGGCCCGGTCATGTCAAGGTAAAGAAGAATTTTAAGATCTTCTAGGGTGTTTTAAATGTGCTGAACCTAATGGTTCTTTCATATGATGTAATATTAGCAGAAGCAGAAGTTTCAAAACACTTCCCTTGTAATGCTTTCTAAACACCTTTCAATTTCAAAAATCCTAAATCTATGTAACTGACTATTTTAGTCAAGGCAATCCGTATTTGTAAAGTAAGCCTAACATGTTCTTCATTTATTTTTTTACACAACATGATAACATTAGATTTATTCTGCAAAATAATACTAAATAAACAACTATTTTAAACTATTTTCTACTCAGTTTCTACAGTGTTTGGCACAAGAATTTACCCGTAGTATCAATCATATAGTGAATGTCAATATTCCTTCAGCAACAGCATGCAGACAGTTTGATGTATTGGAGACAGTTCATCCATTAACTGTAGGTGCCAAGAGAGTTGAAGATGAATGTGATGTCAGTGTGTCAATCTTCTGTCAATGTCAAATGGACAGCCTCCAGAGCCTTCAGGAAACACCTCTCGACTGTTATTTGGTGCAGTAGAGATTAAAGATTTACAAATCTCACGCACAAGGAAGTTAGCATTGCAATGTTTTCTTTCTCAATCTGGCCTTCCTGGTCTCTTTCTCTCACTATTCTTCTATTACATAATCTTCTGTGTTTTTAATAGTCTTATTCTTGTCTTTTGCTAGCTAAGATATTAATGAAAGGTCACATATTCTCAAAAGACTGTTATTTTGACAATATCCTAGTAAAACCAGGCAGAATAATAATATGCCCAAATGGCAGTACACTCCAATGAACGTTTTGCATGATCTAATGCAGTGTATGGGCTATTAAATAAAATATACAAATTTTCAAGGAAACAAATCACTTTATTGTACTGTTAAAAAAAGGTAAGAGGAAATAACCTATTTTTCTGGGTCAGGTCTTTTACAGTTTGAAACAACAATTGGAAAATCCCACCATAAACTCATATACATCCATCTCTCTCAAGCTAGCAATCCTGAAAACACCTTAAATTGGTTTTCTAGCACAGTGGCTATTAATACAGTTTAAGAGTCATTATATTTAAATGCTTATGTATGCAAGTTTTGTGAGTGAACACAAAAGCATTGAAATAAAATGTTTCCGCTCATCTCATTTTTTAAATAATAAATTATATCTAACAGCTACCAATTAAAAAAAAAAAAAAAAAAAAAAAAAGATGTTGACTTTTTTCTCTAGTTTTACAATACATGTAGTCACTTTATATTTAATTTTCTTTTAGAGGAGCAAGTCTCATATTTCATATTTTCAGTTACATATATCTAAAATAATTTTTTGTGGACTCCATCGTACTGATCATTTACACACAATTATTTTAAAGGTGCCATAGAATAGAAAACTGTATTTACCTTAGCATAGTTGAATAATGAGAGTTCTGTACATGGAAATGACACCGTGAGCCTCAAACACCATTATTTCCTCCTCCTAATGTAAATCTCGTGCGTGTAAAAGACCACTGAAAAAGAGGCGAATCCCAACCGACCGTGACGTTACAGTCGGGATCATTAATGTTTACGACCCCAACATTTGTATAGGCCAGCCGGTGTTACGAGATTTTCGGTTTCAGTGGGCGGAGCCAACATGAATATTCATGAGTTTCCCGGACATGCGCGTGGAACTGAGAATTTCAGTTTACGCTCCTTGTATCTCAGCAGGTTTAATGGAATATTAAA